GACAGGGTCAGAAGTCTCAGAGACAGTCCTGGACCAGAGGACAGGGTCAGAAGTCTCAGAGACAGTCCTGGACCAGAGGACAGGGTCAGAAGTCTCAGAGACAGTCCTGGACCAGAGGACAGGGTCAGAAATCTCAGAGACAGTCCTGGACCTGAGGACAGGGTCAGAAGTCTCAGAGACAGTCCTGGACCTGTAGACAGGGTCAGAAGTCTCAGAGACAGTCCTGGACCTGAGGACAGGGTCAGATATCAGGTTACAGTCAGTCTTTTGTCAGTTTGATCATTTTTCWTTAATTAATGAAGCACAGTTGAAATAAACGAAGTGATTTTATTGGTTTATCAGAACATTGTTTTGACTTCAKTCAGATCCAAGTGGTTTCAGAGATCAGTGTGTTTAACGTCACYGTTTGTCAGAAATATAACAAATAAATAAAAAATCTGCCACATTGAGAAGAAACCAGGTCAAAGACAACACATTTTATTAATATTCACATTAATACAGCACAGTTGTCCCTTTTTGTTCTGCTGCTGTCAGTTCAAGCAGCACCGTGAAATAAAACAGAATCAAACACAAAGACAGGTCCTGAACAGTTCTTTACAAACTAAAAACATAGTTTAAAAAWGTGCAAACAGCTTCATTAACTCAGTTTTTATTAAAAAAAACATTTAAAGATCTGATTCAGTTTGKCACCCTGGACTCAGGTCCTGGTTTTAGTTCTCCTTTTTACAGCAGTTTAATGTAGGGAGAGGTCCTGCAGCCTGTTAGTAAAATAACCTGTTAGTTTATTAATACTGGACTGTGACATCATCTCATGGGATTAAAGGAGTCGTCATGGGGGTCCTGGATTAACTACATGAAGGTGAGCAGCAGGATGCTTTCTTACTTATGGCTTTAAGTGACTGTCAGGAGTCATCCTGGTCCTGCTGGTCCTGCTGGTCCCCCTGCAGACCCCAGCCTGTCAGGAGGTCTGCAGCTGTAAAACAAGCAGCAGCGCTCTGACCGCACTCCACAAACACAACGAGTCAGAGTCCAAACAAAGACACACGGACAGATTTAACATCAGACGCAGCTAAAAGAAGAGGCCACGCCCCCTCCAGGCTGACACGTCAACAAACAGACCTAAACAGGCTTTTTAGGAAGCGTCCAGGCAGTCAAGCCTTTTTAACCACAACATTATCAACCTGTAATTAGAACGCTGTGTTTCAGGAAAATGACAAGCAAGACTTTTTAACCTCAGTTTGTTTTTCTCTTAAAAAAAAAACCTCAGTGCAGTGAAAGTTCAGTGAAATTCTCTCCTAAATAGGAGAGAATTTCACTGAACTTTGATAGAGAAGCAGACAGTGTCCTGCTGTGAGTCCTTCTGAAACATGCTGGGCCTACACAAACTACTGAGGACAGGGGCTGATATTCAGGCTCCACAGCTGCATGACATCTACACATTTACACTTCTGCTCGTCTTTCAGCGGTTTACTGCAGACAGGCTTTATAAACCCAAACACAGGGATCATCCAGTCCATGGGTCCAACTCAGTAACCAGTTCTGTCCCTGTCCAGCACCGTCTCAGACCAAAGGAAAGGATCTGGGTCTGGGTGCAGTTTCTTAGGTGGTCAGCTTGGAGTAACTGGGTGGAGAGAAGCGTCTCCGCAGGTACTTGAGGATGTAAAGGGGCAAGCAGCTGACCAGTGTGATGGTGGTCACCTTCCACAGGAACGGCACCGTGGTGATGAAGTAGATGTCTGCAGAGAGGAAGAGTCAGAACCTGTTCAACAAGCTGAGCACCTGAAGGTCCATCGTCCTGCAGCCAGGGAAACAACTGCTCTTTAGGTTCCTTTAGCTCACTACAACATGGAACATGAACATCATTTAAAACTGTTGGGACATTATGTCAACAGGAAATAAAAGAACAGATTGTAATAATTAAAGACTGCAGTGATGCAGGTTCACAACCTGGACTCTGATGAATCTGGTTCAGGGGGGGCCAGTCCTGGTCCTCGAGGGCCACAAACCTACATGTGTTACAGTTCTCCCTGCTCCAACCAGGGTTCAACAAGATTCTATTTTTTACCTGCCCGAACAAATGTTACCTGCCCGACATGAAAAGTTACCTGCCCGACAACAAATGTTACCTGCCCGAAACAAATGTTACCTGCCCAAACAAATGTTACCTGCCCGAAACAAATGTTACCTGCCCAAACAAATGTTACCTGCCCAAACAAATGTTACCTGCCCGAACAAATGTTACCTGCCCAAACAAATGTTACCTGCCCGAACAAATGTTACCTGCCCGACATGAAAAGTTACCTGCCCGACAACAAAAGTTACCTGCCCAAACAAATGTTACCTGCCCAAACAAATGTTACCTGCCCAAACAAATGTTACCTGCCCGACATGAAAAGTTACCTGCCCGACAACAAAAGTTACCTGCCCGACAACAAAAGTTACCTGCCCGACAACAAAAGTTACCTGCCCGACAACAAAAGTTACCTGCCC